GGGGGGGGGGGTGAAGTGGAGTTTGCCAGAGGTCCCACAGAGAGCCATTAGACAACAAACTGTCAATGTAGAGAAACCAAAAACGTGTGTGAAAGTTTGTTTTGAGTGACAAATCTGCACTATTACAGGTTGTGGTGATTGTGCCTCATGTTAAGCCTATCATTTTCTATTGTAATATACGCTCTGGTTTTGCTTTCTTCTACTCTGTCGAATTGTTACCACTGGGTCTCAAACATTTCCTCATAATTGTCTTCTTCAGCAGACTTTTGAGGGAAAGTTTAGCAAAAATGTTTTGGCTGGTTTTGTACAAGTCTAAGAAAAATATTTTGATTCAGCAGTGTTTAATTCATACAACCATTTTGCTGAGATGCTTTACTGAGAACCCACTGGATTGTGGAAGGAGTTTGATATTTTGAAGGACTGGAGCAAGTTATGAGCACAGACATTTATAACTGTAAGAACATGGAACAGAGCAAGAGTTTCTTCTTAGCCTGTATGTTTCTGCACTTCAGCAAAGATTTTGAAATCCACTGACAAAGCGCATCAAGTTGCCTTCTAGCAGTTGGCCCACAGGCGTGGGGACAGCGTGCAACTGCTAAGAATCACTGAGCCCAAATGGCTGCAGATGGGGCTGTAGTTAAAGCAGTTCTGCAAGGATATAACTGCCTATTAAAAAAAAAAAAATCCTAGGAATTTCTACACTATTTCCTTTCTCTTTCTCTATCATTTGGATATGGCTTGTTTATCTTGCTTAAGCTGGCACCAAAACACCCCTGCCTGAATGGGGGGAGAATTGGAGGAGGCCAAGTAGGAAACTCCCTACCAGCTCTTTTACTGCACTCCCCAGAACTGGTTAATATTCCCTTGGCAGCACCTCTGTTGCAGTGACCTGTTTGTGAAGCCAAACCATTATTGATGACGTGAACTGAAAATTGAACAAACAGTAAAATTTTAAATATGTTCAGGGTTTTTATTTCTTTGTTGTGAAATAATCTTACACAACACCACCAGTGGAACATAACAGTGGGAAAGAAAAGCATCCAAAATTTAACAAATGCTGACCAGTTTCTGGGCAGCTTGGTTCAGTCCCTTTATGAATTTGATTGTATGATCATATTTCATTTGTTTCACCTCTGTCCATCTCAGAAAGTAATTATTTGCTATTTACCTTCATCCTCCTCACTGATTCTGTTCATTCATGTAATATCTAGCAAACTATATCCACACCTTGCAATGAATTAAACTTTCTCAGAAGTTTCCGTAATGGTCTCATTGCAGCACTTTACTAACTTTCAAGTTTGGAAGAGTTTGAATTGTCTTGCTAATTTTGGGCATCCAGTTTGAGGTATATAACACCTGATTTTTCAGCTTACTTCACATAGACCTGTGTCTACTTAACACACAGCCACTATATTCACTAGCGGCCACAAGTCTTAAGCTGGATACCCAGGGACTGAGGAATTAGAGAATGGCCAACTGAGTATTTAGGCTGGTGAGCAAGTGATACTCAGGATGTATTGGCAGGAAAAGAGAGAGAATCTGCTGCTCTAGGATGGCATTTTAACTTTCTTTGTATTTCCAGGTCCTGAAACCTCCTAATCCAAGTGCTCACCTTCCAAATCACACAACAAATGCCTCCATCCAGTTTATGGACTCTCACTCTCCTTTTATGTTATAGACTGTGTGGAGGAGGATAAAAAACCCCACAGCATAAGCCTTTTGCTTTCTTTATGCCGTTGATTTGGAGCAGCAGACAAGTCACCCTGA